TGTTATTGCTACTAACCGCGTTCCTGGATTTACTAACAGTATTACCCTTTGTATTATTGTGTAAATACATTTTATTTCTTATATTTAATTCCTGCGTTTGTCATTCATTGGAGACCGAATTTCATCTCGGAATCTACAACAATAACAAAACATTTTAAAACCTGCATTATGTTCCCAAAATTATTTTTCTTCTTTTGCAACTATCTTTGTGCTATTTTCTTGTAATTAAAACGAAAAACAAATTTAAACCATTTCTTTAATGCATTGCAATATTTTTTGAATTTCACTTTTAGATAACCATATTGCTAAGTTCTTAAAAATAAGATTTGATATATTAAAAAGGAAATTCACAAATGTCTCGTTACAAGGGTCTGAATTAAGTAAAATCTTCTTCAATGCAAATATTCTTCTCTCCAGCTCTGAAAGAAATGAATAATTGTCTAAGTCAAACACACGAAGATAGAAATCCATTTAAAATATGTCCATATTCAAATAACACTCAGAAATAATTGAACAAAGCATTCTCAGATTGTAATAATCTGAAGAGCTGAACATTCAAAATGAAAAACTTTGCAAGACAAAGACAAAAGATATGAAATATTCTTTGCAAATTATTTGTAGCAGAACTCAATCTGTTGTACAGTTGAGAGAGTTTCATATTTCATATTAGCACCAATTGTCCGCGTTTAAGCAAAGGCAAAAGCTAAGAAAATGCTGATTTTTCAAGGATATTCTTCAGTGTTGCTATAGTACAGATTTCAATCCTCAGTAATTAATGCACATATGTGACGGCGAAAACAAAATAAGCTTGATAAATTTCCGATCTAAAATGTTGATTGAGAATTTTCTTAACCCCCTGATTAGCTGCTCTACACGGATTCTATATCTTTCATATGTGCACTAATTTGGGGCATTTTACTGGTTTATTTGGCCAGAATTTCTTAGACTAAACTTTGTATATATTATTAATTTTTCGTTAGTTTTTATTTTATTTCAATTTTATTAATTTTATCAGTTTATCTTATATCAGTGCCACAAAACGGAAATAAAGAATTAGTCTGCGACAAAATGTGAACTTTTATACGATTTCATTGAGTCTGTATGATAAGAAAGCTATGTCTATGAAAAAATGACTCCCAGGAAAACCGAATGCGAGTTCAAATCTTTTCGGTGGCAACTCTCTTATATTCTATTGACGTCCCTGACGTAATAGTCATAGGATGTAAAAACTTCAGCACAAAACGACTTAAGTCAGTGAAAGCAATAAAAATAGGATGATAGGAAAAACTAATGAAAATAACTTTTTTCTTTATTTTCAAACGGATTTAAGGAAACATCTTTGTTTTCATGATTGAAGCTTTTTTTCGAAGATATTATATCTTTTTCAAGCGTGCGCGAAATATTCTTCGTTCATGATGCTATCTTGTTTCATCCATAAAAAACGTCTACAAAGAACTTATCAGATCCTCATCTTTTGTCTTCCGCTGCCATTTTCTTTATTCATTTTCTCATTCCTCTTCTTTCTGATTTACTCTTTTTCTAGTTCTTCGTTTGCGTCTTCTCTAATTTCTATAGTTTTCTTCTTCTTTATTTAATTATCTACGTCTTTTTTTCCCAACCCACTTTAGCTTCTCTTTTTCTCCCCACTTCTTTTTCTTTGCCCACATTTTCTTTTCCATCCCATTATGTGTCTCTTTATTTTCCCACTCCGCCTTATTTCATTTGCTATCCTTTTGTTGCATTATTCTTCTACTCTTTACGTATTAAGCCTTCAAGTTTAACTGAAAAGGATCCTTTTAATCAAATTATTATATTTAAAATTACTTTTTACGTCAGTGGAAAAATAATTCTGAACTTAAGAAAATAACTGAATCAGATAAAATTACATAAGAATAAATTTAACAAAAACTCTTCTCCGTTTTTTTTATAATACGATTATCATTGTCTTCTGTTTCTTCTGTATTTTTCACCTTAGCTTGGTTAAATATTAAAGCTGGTCAAAAGTTTCATTCACTGAAATACTAAATGCAAAGTCATTATGTTTCCCATTAGTTTTTGAACTACATATTTACAGCTTAGATACGTTTATTCATGATTTTTCCAATAATTGCCTTTTCATTTATTTCAGAGATATTCAGTATTACCAAGTAAAATCTGTAAATTATGGTAATTTAATGTTGCAATACCCAATGAATAGGACAGATGAGTAAAAACTTTGCAGTGTTATCCTTTTAGCCTGGCCTCCAAATAAACTTGTTCTTTCAAGTTAAATTCATTAATTTCTCTGTTTTTATTTCGACTGTCGTTTTTCGATTTGTTTAAATGAGATTCTTATTTTTTCGAATCAACTATTTGGTTCTTCAAGAGAAGTTCATAATAGAAACCTCTCTTCCAATCCATTTTTATACACACGATAACCATTTCTGAATGTAAACAGCCTTTTACTACTACTTGAATTTGTCCATGTAGCTTTTCACACTGTCTTTTTGCATTCTACATTCTTGTAAAGAAGCCATTCTTCATCACTCATTTAAAAAATACATCTCATTTATAGAATTGGCATGAGATGTCTCAAACTAATGGGGAAAAATTATCTAATATGAGTTATCTGCCCTAGCATGGACTGCGGAATGAGAATTCTCTATCGACGTGGATTGAATAAAGTGTTCGGTTCATAATTACCAGAACGTTAGTGAATATGTCTAACACGTGAAGAAGGCCGAAATTTAAAACTGTAGAAAATTAGCCTATATGTGAATATTAGTTTGATTTTTCCGTGGGACTGGGATAATAATTTCAGACAATATTTAATCTAGTTAGATATTAAGCAGTTATGTTTTAACAAGAATTCCAACATTGATCTATATTTATAATCGATATTATCGATCGAATCATTTTCAAGATTAATTCGATATCGACTCGGATATGTCCGGTGCTTGCATAAGAAACTGTTTCTTTTAAAAAAGAAAAAGAAAAGCTGTTCAGTATAGTAAGAAAGTAATGCCGTGGATTTAAATCTCGCTCAATTTTTTTCAAATCAAAAAACTTGTATGAGCAAAACTGTACAGGTAATTAGAATGTTAATATATAGGATTAACATATATCGCACATTTTCAATATATCTTGATTTCTTTCTAAATTCCTGGTGAAAAAATAAGTTTGTGCAAAATTAGTTAAATCGAATTGGTATAACGAAACAGTGAAAACTATAAACAAATTAACCATTTAGAAACTTCCAGTAAAACTAGTTTCCCTTCGCCTATGTAGATTTGGATTTATTTGCATAAAATTATTTTTTCTGGTCATGCCATTCTTATCATGGATTGCTAAAGAAAATGTCAAATTATTTTTTTCAATTCTTTCATATTTTTCATTCCATCCGATTTCATACTATTTTGCTATAACGCATTTGTTTTACATAACAAATATATTTATAATTATATTAAGCATTATTTTTTTAAAAGGCACTAATGAAATATACCAATTAAATATGACGGAAATTGCGATAGTGACCACAAAATAGTTTAAGAAAAACAAATAAGTAAATAAATAAATACTTAAATGCATAAAAATCAACAGAGAAATGAAACGAAACCATATAATAATTATCAATGTGTATATATTCATATATATCCTGTCCCATCGATAGTGGGAAGGGAGGTAATCAACTAAAGTTAAATTCATGAGATATTATTTAACTTAGTCGTTTTAACAATCTATGCAAATAAAATGTTTGTCTGCATTACGACAAAATTATTTCCTGAGCAAAATGCACCGTTTATTTAATCAGTTCCTTTACACCTATGTCTCTTATATTGCAGTCTTATTTGTTCAAGCCTTTCATGTAAGACACTCAGATACATTTGACTATTAAGTCACAGTCTGAACTTGGCCTTGAAATACGTCTTGTCGTCGCGGTTATTTTCAGTTTGTTTTTAATCTTTTTCTTCCGAGAGATATTTCCATTTTCACACTTATATTAAACACCTAAAATGCTTAACATGAAAATATATTAAGGAAAAATCGATCTATACTAGGAGTAATCACTGAATCATAGATACCACTGATCGTCTATAAATATAAATGGAACTGATTAATTAAACGGTTTATTGGCCGCTATTTTTGTGAATTCTTTATCTCCGCTTTGTTGAATCCCAATATTTTGTTTCAATAATTTGTTTCATTGCATCTCACTATTAAAACTTGCTAACGATGGCATCATTTTTGACAGCACGGGTAGCACTAGTGCATATAACAGACAAATAGCAAGGATTAACGCATACCAAGAAAGACGAGTTATATAGCAAATAATATTAAATAATCGTAAATAATACTAAGTAAATAAAATAGCCACATAATTAGCAACAATTAAAAGTATCAATTGAAAATTCTAAAGTTATGATTCCTCACAGAATGACGTGAATATCAATCATAAAATTATAGCACATGCATTAATAAGGCAAATAATTAATTCACAAATAAAAGTAACCGTGACGAAAATATCATAAACAGAAAATTACCATAACTGCCTATAATTAATTGTCAATACAACTAATTATAGGCGGTTATGGTAATTAAATAAGACGGAGATTAAATAAGACTGAAATTTTGATAGTGACAACAAAATAGTTTAAGCAAAACGAATAAGTAAATAAATGAATACTTAAATGCATAAAAATAAACAGAGAAATGATACGAAACCATATAATAATTATAAATGTGTAGTTATTCATATATTTCCTGTCCCATCTGTAGTGGGAAGGAAGGTAAATCAACTTAACCAACAGCCGTTAGAATAGCACATCTAAACCAGTTTAAGTCAATTGATAACTATTTCATATCCATAACCTGCTCGGCCCGGTGGCAATCAGACATGTATAAGTAGTCTAGCTACTCTTCTAGCTTTTTAATCTAACGATTTTGTTTATGTCATCCAATGTTGATAACTATGTTCACATCACTCACACACAACACACATACAAACACACTGACAAACACACAGAGATAGATAGATAGATAGATAGATCTTCTTTATTTAGGCACCGAAGGATTTTCCACATTTTCTATAACGTCATATCACCTTTCAGCTAAACTGTGTATTGCATCGTTGAAAAATGTTTCGCTGAAGACCTTCCTGTATTCCTCGAAAGTCTAAATTTTGTAAAATTGTCAACAATACAAGCAATGTTATATGGTGCGAAAGAAGTGATAATGGGAAGTATATTTTGCATATAGAAGAATTTCCATTACGGCATCGTAATTGTTTCTAGCGTTTGATTAGTGCGGATGGTTGATATCACGCAGAGCAACCAGTTGTCTGAAGAAAGATATTTTAGCTTTTCATAGATTTTATTCCAGGAGAATTCGTTTAGATTCAGACCCTTAATATGATACTCTTAATTTCATATTTTCCAAATTCGTGGTAATTTTTATTGTTATATAAAAAAGAGGAAAGAAAAGGTTTTGTATGGTAACTGAAATTTTATATGCTAAATTTATATAGAACTTAATTTCCTGTGTATCGGGAAGCAGAACAAATGATCATCGGTAAGACTTTTGAATTATCTGTCTTGCAAACACTATGTATAGACTCGGGTTATATAAGGAAACGACGTGTAATGAAATGGACAGCATTGGCAGAAGTTTGATAAAACAAGTCGACATGTAATAGACATCGAATCACCTACTTATACATAAAAGAAAAAAAAACACATTGTTCAGGAAAACCATAAAACAATATACAATTTGTGAAGAAAACTGAGTGGAAAATAGAAAGGGATAGATTCAGAAAACATATATCAGAGAAGTGTCCACGTAAGGAAACTTGCCCAACAGTTCAAATTAGGGTTGATGATATTTGGAAAATGAAAAGAAAACGAAAGAAAGAAGTTCCGCAAATAGGAATGATCTCGATTGACGTGTGATTTATCTTCTTTATTTCAATCTTGATTAAATAGTGAAGTACTAATCCATTCTGAAATGAGGTTTTTATTTCTTATTTTATCACAACTTTTTTTTTTATCTTGAGCATCAAATCAGACGTCTTAACTTCCAACTGCTGCTTTTTGACTCTTCGTGATTTATCGATTCTTGTCGAACGCACATCACAGCGAAGTTATCTGTCAACCACAGACACGCTTATTATCGAGGCGAACGTCATACTTTTACTTTTAATCATAAAGCATTTCTATTAACTAAATGAAAAATGACAATCTGCATGCAATGGGAAAAAAGAGGTTAAATAGATTATTCGTCGCAGGTGAAACTTGAAATAACTCCAGGGAAACGAATGGAAAATTCTTAAATAAGTGAAGATACAAAGGAAAAGTAATACTTTTAAACAACACACACACACATATATATATATATATATATATATATATGTGTGTATATATATATATATATATATATATATATATATATATATATATATATATATATATATATATATATATATAGCACATGCACATATATAGAGAAACAGATAGATAGATTGATAGATAGATAGATAGATAGATAGATAGATAGATAGATAGATAGATAGAAGTCCGTACGTTTACCACATTCACTGAATTTTTGTTTTGTAACATCACTAAATTATGTACGTTCAATGAAGATTGGTATTGGTTTAATTCTATTGGCAATATTTTCCGTTTAAAATAAATATGTTTGTTTATTCCTCAATAGAAAATGAATTGTAATGATATATTTATGAACACCCACACCACATGTTCTAGTAAATATTTTGATCAGTTAAATAAACATTTTAAACTCAGTTGATTTAATTAAACAATCTAATGATTTTTTTTTACCTTACTTGCTTTTATCCCAGTGAATATGTCTGATAGTTGAATTACGTCTCTTCCAAAGTAAAGCGTTGGAAGTTTCTTTTCGGAGGTGCCAGGATATTGGATCTACCGAGTAGCCATTAGATAACTGAGGAATTAATGCAAATTGACAGACAAAAGAACACAGACCTCATAAACGGGACAGAATATAAGTGAGATAGTCTGATAGGTTGTTCACACGAAAACCTAGCAATGTCGAAGCGAACACATACGCAGTTTCCAAAAGCTAATTAAACTTTATTCGTTACAAAATTGCTTACTAATTTCGGCAATGACTTTGGGGGGGGGGGGTAGAATCACGTGTTCGTTCATTATCACAAAGAATAAATTTGCATTTTATTCTTTTAGAATTAAAGAAGTGCAATAACCATAGTGTATATGGCTTTCGTCCAGTTTTTCTCGGTCTTATCTAAATAACATGCTGAACGGTTTTAATGGACACGGCGCAAAAGTTATGTCACGGCGACGCCTCAACCACCGACAGAAAAAACACTTAGTCTTTTAACTAACATCAACAAATTCACAAAAGGACTACCAATCTATCCGACACGCTATCATATGCTCACAGCCATTTCTGACGTCATCCTAGTACTGCCTTACTAAAACACAGTTAAATGTAGACATATATGTAGAACTATTTTTTTATCGTGTCCTACATGGAATATGAGATGATGCGACATTTTCCAAAAGTTTGGCGAGGAAAATTTTATAAAATCTAACACTGTAATTAAATTCGTATAGAAAATGAAGGAAAGATTACGTGTAGTAAAATGTAGATTTTCAGAATATCAGTAAGAACACTTCGTATCAAATAGATACACCATATTACGAAAACAGGTAAGAGTTAAAACAATTTGTCATCAAGAAAATGAATGGCAATCACACAAAAATGTTAATACTTTTGAAAACATAGCAGCTGAGGATGGACATTTCAAAATCGTCACCGACTTGTGCTACCGTTTGAATTTTTGCTCACGTAGTCAATGAACATTCTATGTTCAAATAGTTCAGTCAGATTCGAATAGGAATTTTCTGCAGCAGAAAAATTCTATTCTGGAGAAAAGTATGCGTTCATGTCTTCCCTAATTAACAGGCTAGAAAAGACTTTTCTGACGATGGGTGGCAATTTAGAAGGACAAATCATGTTTCAAAATAGAGGTCAATTCTGAGGAAACCCCTTCACCATATTTTCCAAAATGTTATTATAATTTATGGATAATATAAGGAAAGGAATCTAGGAAGAGGTTTTATCATCGCCTACATCCTGACTGGACAAATCAATAAAATAGAAATTAAATAGTATTAAAATGAATGCTTCCAAACTCACACCCAAAATAGATTTTGAAGATTACAAAAGGAACTGAAGCCACTCTGTGAGCTGAGTGTAAATTATTCCCAATATCAACGAGAGATATATCTATATGGGACGGTTTTATCATTAAAATTACACACCATCAAGTAAATAAATAAACAATTTAGTATTTGTAATTGATAATAATTTCGAAGACTTAGCTGACAATTTGAGTATGAAGAGAATGAATAAAAATTATTGAACTAATACGGAATGAAATAAACATATGTTGATGTTGTTACACTAAGAAAAAATCTGCTCTCCGTCACAGAACATTATTGAGTAGAATTCTATTAGAATTGGTCTCTTATATTATAGCCATTCTTGTTAATTTCTTACCGTGTTTATTTTGTAAATAAAGATTTGTCGCAAGACTCTATATGTATAAGATATAGATATTGTATAGAGGGTTTAGGGATATTTCTAATGAAAAACATTTGCTGCACGATTGGACCTAACATAATCCAAGTTGATCAGAAGAAAAAAAAGAAAGAAACGCTTAACCATACATAGAAATAAATTCAATGAGATTATAACGTTTGGGAAAAAAAGACGAGATGTGACTCTTATTTCAAATAATATCTTCACATGAAAACAAAATTTAAAAGAACTATTCATAAACAGATATTTGTGCTGATGTTGCTTACTAAATCATATTCGGTGAGTTTTGCTTGTAGAAGGAAAAAATATATATTTTATTGCGTAGGCGATGGCTATAACATTTCCTTGTTAATTTGTTTATGGATATCATATATGTATCTTGAATATTCTATAAATCTAATATCTACTCTTTTGTGTACTTTAATATTATACTTTCATAAGCGATAAAACTAGATTGTTAATCTATCAAATATCATTTATAAACAAAGAATATAATGTTATTTTCATTTCCAACCTTTGGTAATCTATGCAGTTAAAGGTTAGTTATTATTTTCCGTCTTGTTAGTTTTTGCTTTTTATTGGTCTCTCTAATTAATACTGCTTTTTATATTCTCTAATACTCAGTAACCGCTTGCATCTTAGTAACTTTATTGCCTTACCTGGGTTGAAATGATTAAACAGAATTATAGCCTAAGAATAATAAAAAATATTACTCTTACGTGGCATGTGAATCATATACTTTTGTTTTTGATTTAGAAACGACGTAAATCGTATTTTATAAAAGAAATCCTAATAGAATCGGCTGAAACTTTAATTAGTACTGTGTTTTTTGCCAGGAAGCTTCAAGTGAGAATATCATTAGCAGACGTGTAGAAAAGTTGATTTCATTTTTAGAATCGAAATATAGGACAATCAATATCCTGAACACAAATACACACATATCTAGAAGCTCTCATAGTTTCCACCTATACTCATTTATATATATTTCTGTGTATGCCTTTCTGTGTGTGTGAGCGTGCGAACAAATATAGACTTGTATCAACTTCAAATATCTTGAGCAAATATATAGGCGCCTCTCTAAAGACAAGTAGTCAGGAATCTTTTTTCACGAACAGTTAAAAGGGTAAAGAGTTCGATTCTCAACAGGAGGTCCACTTGTTGATCACCTCAAATTTTGTAAGATTCTATTTTTCACTGGTTTTAAGTCTTAAAGACCATTAAGTCCATTTACACTTCAAATGAATTTCTTTATCAGATAGAATTATCTAAGCAAATATAAATGACTGCGAATTTATTTCTCGCATATATAAACACACCGTACGAGAGTCTTATCAACATTTCATTTGTACTGGTCATTATGTATTTTTGGTCTTCTACTGACTGGCTTATCAGCATCAGAACAAGCGGCTTTAAAGATCTTGAATCCATTCTTTAATGAATTGCTGTTTAAGCCTCTGTTGTTGATAGAATTTGGCTAGGTTCTTCGGATAACAACATTGTCCTGTTCTTCAAAATATATTATTTATAAATCGCGTATATTCTTTTCATTATGCATTAAACACTTGTAAATAATTTAAAATGAATACTGAAATTTTGATAAGTTATTTAAAAATAAAAAGTCCATTTAAATTTATTTTTTTAGAATAAATTAGAGACGCTAGCAAACTTCCAATTGCACAGCGTGTTCACAGTCGCTGTACACACACAGGCACATACAAACACACACACACACACAGATCAAATAGGAAATCTTCCATATGGTAATATGCACAGTGTGAAAATTGTTTAAAAGATTCAATACTTGAAATAAAATTTCAACTGTTTCTATATTGCAAGACATTCCGATAGGCTGCAGTGAGAAGTCTCAGGATATACATTATGTTGCATTACATGAAATATCGAATTTATTGAGATTTATTCATGTGTGATATGGCTAATAATGTAAACAAACATATACACACGCGCGTGTGCGCACACACGCATATATATATATATATATATATATATATACAGTGCTGTGCAAAAGTAAGTGTACTCTTGAGTTAATATTTTAAAAAATTATCACTTTTTCACGATGATCAACAAATTTTAATTAAACTATATTTTTATTTCCAAAAAACTATATTAAATCAATTATAACCACTTTCAAAAATTTTCTTTGAGCTGGAATAAAAATATTAAGTAAAAATTAAAAATTAAGATGTGTAAAAGTAAGTGAAACCTTGCATTTAATATTTGGTGACTTCCCATTTTGTGGTTATAATGTCAGTCAGTCTTTTTCTATAATTTTTAAGAAGGTTCTGTCAGTAGTGAGTGATGATTTTTGACCATTCTTCTTGGCAAAACTCTTCTTTTCCCGCAATTGCTTGATATTAGCTGGGTTTCATGCATACACTGCCTTCTTTCACTCGAATCACAGATTTTCATTTGGGTTTACACCAGGAATTTGATTAGGCCGTTCTAAAACTTGACATTTCTTTTTAAGAGTGCATTTCTTTGTGGATTTGCTTTGATTTTTCAGATTAATTTCCTGTTGAGGTTCCATCCCCTACCTTAACTAAACTTTTGAACTGAAGAAAATAAATCTTTTGTTCAAAATTGCTCGGTATCTTGCACATTCCATTGTACTATTTTGCCTGTCTCAGCTGCAGCAAAGCACCCGCAAATCATAATGCTGTCACTGCCATGTTTAATGGTTGGTATCAAACTCTTCTCTTCAAAAGCAATATTAGGAGCTCGCCAGATATACCACCGATTGTTCCTCCTAAAAAGCTCTTGTTTTGTCTCATTTGAACAAATACATTTTTATCAGAATGTTTCTAGATTATTAATATGAGTTTTGGCCTAGTTGAGTCGATCATGCTTGTGCTATTTCTTAAGCAGTGGCCTTATTCTAGACATTCTGCCATGACGATCGACATTGTTCAGATTTCGTCGCACTGTAGATGTATGCACATTAATTGCGACATTGGCCAGTGAGCATTGGAGAACCGCATAAGTTACAGCAAGA